GAAGTTGAACTGAGCGTTGTACTGACGGATGTGCTCGATGAAGTTGCGCTGCTTGAAGAAATCTTTGAACGCTTGTATTTCTGGCGAGTCGGGGTAAACGTAAGGATCCATCTTGTCCTTGCCCTTCAAACAACAGGGCAGGTTCTTATAGTCGTAGGGTGTCAACTTTGCTCGGCAGTGCGGACACGTCTTCGTTTTCCCAGGAACATGCAGCCGCGTGTGACCACCTTCCTCAAACAATTCATACGATTGCCGTCCGACGTAATTCACAGGGTTTTGGCGTGGAGGCCGCACTTATCGCATCTTGGACGGGGTCTTGAGGAAGGAACGGTGGATCTTCTCCAAGGTCGATGTCATGGAGGGCCTCTTCGATGAATTAAACTTCCCCGAGAATGGCCGTAGGGTCTTCCAGTGGTTGAAAAGGATACGGCTCGAGCGTCGGATGAAGGTCAATGTCGTCGAGCATTCCCTCGACGAAATCAATTTCATCTTGTAGTGCTTCGGGATCGTCCAATGGCTGAAAAGGACGCGGGTTGAGTTCAACATCCAAAATTGCAGGGCCTTCTGGTATGATCGGGGGCTGAACGGGAACAATCTCCATCAAGAAGTATTTCATCAACGTGTCGTTCATCAGCTGGGCGCATTTGAGATTTCTTCACGCGCTTGGTTTGCTGCTACTCCTTCTTCGCAGCTGCCGCGGCCGATTTTGCTTTCGCAATGCGAAGTTGATCCCGACGGTTGCGTTGACGATTCAAAACGGTTTCCTTGTCCTCTCCACGATACCTTGCGTTGCTACACCATATCCGCCGTGAGTTGCGCTGGTGGTATGGAACGGAATGAGTACGTTTCAACCCCCCCATCCCATACATAGAAATGTAGGTCTGGATAAGCTGGTTGGCCACATCGAGGTCATCCTTGGTTTTATTATACGTATTACGACACAAACATCCCATGATATAATGGAAAACCCCTCTACCTGAAATGGATTTTTCGCAGGTAGGTCAAAGGAAAAAATTCACTTATCGTTTCACACGAAGTTCACTACGCAAATTCCACCTGGAAATTTCGACCGAAGTAGGGGGAATATTTGTACACTGTAAAACGCTTGTACTTCCTCTGTTCCAGGTTACTTTTACTGTACTGCCGACATTTCAAAATTCGCATTGTCCAAATTACTGGCGACATTTGCATTTCATTGGCTGTAATTCTTCAATTTCTCTCAATATCGAATATTTATGACATTTCATTGCTTTACAATTGCTTTAAGCGCTGATTATAAACCAATCTTTTGCGAAAATTCATGCAATTCCCTTTCAAACAAAGTATCATTCGCCCAACTTGAGTGAGGGCTCGATTGTCTGTGTCAATTCAAAGTAAATGTCGGCAAGTAACCTGGAAATTTTACACCAATATATAACCAATGTAATACACCTTTTTTCGATTAATTTCAGGACCTCACCATACTTTTTCGCGAAATAAAAAACCAATTCGCGGCGGTTCCACTTCGTTCGTTGTATATTCGTTATATTTCGCCTGCAACCAAGAAGGTTGCAGTATATTTCAAGCGACGTTCGTTATGTGTCACTGTGTATGCGCTCAATTCAGCGAGTGCTCAATATATTTCGGGGTGCATTCGATATATTTCAATAAAAAATGTAAATCAATCTGACTTTTGACGTAAAATGCAATTGTTGGTCGATCAGTCTTCCATGTTCTCCGCCGTAGAA